GACAGCATGGCACGGTCAGGAGGGACACCCCTGCCCCATCAACTACCAGCTCTGTGCCTTCACCGCTCACCAGGTTATGGACGAGTACCGCAAATACGTCACGAACAACGAAACTTTTGTATAGACAACCGATAAATGTATAAAAAATATATGATTTGACGTTGATGAATACCATGAAATGTGATTAATTACATGGACAATAAAGCCTGTAATATACTATATGAAACACACAATTTCTATTACACCTCATTTTATGAAAACTATATTTTTTATATTGCTCGTTACACAATATATTATATTTTTCCCGGGTAATTATTGATGACTAACCTACCGCAGATTTTTCATAGAAAACACTTTTAAAAATGCCACAATTTCACTGTGTTTTATAGTGGACACTCGTATTTTTGGCAAATGTGTTAAAAAGTGGTTATTTCTTTAAATTTAACCTAACCTTAGTTGATAAGAAAATAAGCAGCAGAAGCGTTCTTAAAGACCTCACCAATCACATCAAAGTAACCTACCTAACCTTACCTAACTTCCTAGCCACGAGGCTCCACCCTCAAGACCCTATATATTAAACAGAAAAAACTTACTGTACGGTATAATTTTTCTTGTGGACGTGAGAGCAGCCACCCAGTCCAAGCGGCTTATAACGTACACCGAGGCGCTAGACTAGCCGGAGTCTTGCGGCTAGAGCCCAGCTGTAGGCATTCATAGAAAACGGGAAATTTGTATCATAAAAAATGGGAAATATCTACTTTCCGGGAAAGTTGGTTATCTACTTTCCCGAAAAGTAGATAGATTTTCTACTTTTCGGGAAAGTAGATTATCGACTTTTTGGGGAAGTAGATTTTCGACTTTTGGGGGAAATATTACCTAATTTTGCGAAGTAGATAATCATAGAAAACGGGAAATTTGTATCATAAAAAATGGGAAATGTCTACTTTCCGGGAAAGTTGGTTATCTACTTTCCCGAAAAGTAGACAGATTTTCTACTTTTTGGGAAAGTAGATTATCGACTTTTCAGGAAAGTAGATTTTCGAATTTTGGGGGAAATATTACCTAATTTTGCGAAGTAGATTATCATAGAAAACGGGAAATTTGAATCATAAAAAATGGGAAATATCTACTTTCCGGGAAAGTTGGTTATCTACTTCCCGAAAAGTAGACAGATTTTCTACTTCTCGGGAAAGTAGATTATCGACTTTTCGTGGAAGTAGATTTTCGAATTTTGGGGGAAATATTACCTAATTTTGCGAAGTAGATTATCATAGAAAACGGGAAATTTGTATCATAAAAAATGGGAAATATCTACTTTCCGGGAAAGTTGGTTATCTACTTTCCCGAAAAGTCGATAGATTTTCAGAAAATTCCCAAAAATTTTCTAAAATTTTACAAAAATTTTCAGAAATTTTCAGAAAATTTTCCAAAATTTTCAGAAAATTCCCAAAAATTTTCCAAAATTTCATAAATATTTCCAAAATTTTAGAAATTTTTCCAAAATTTTCCCAATTTTTCCGAAAAATTTCAGAAAATTCCCAAAAATTTTCCCAAATTTTCCGAAAATTTTCCCAAATTTTCCAAAAATTTTCCCAAATTTTCCGAAATTTTTCAGAAAATTTTCAGAAAATTCCCAAAAATTTTCAGAAATTTTCAGAAAATTTTCCAGAATTTTCCAAAAATTTCTCCCAAATTTTCCGAAAATTTCCCAAATTTTCAGAAAATTTCCCAAATTTTCAGAAAATTTTCCAAAAATTTACAGAAATTTTCCAAAAATTTTCGAAATTTTCCAAAATTTTCCGAAATTTTCCAAAAATTATCCCAAAATTTTCCCTAATTTTCCGAATTTTTCCAAAATTTTCCAAAAAATTCCCAAAATTTTCCAAAAATTTCCGAAATTTTTCCAAAAATTTCCGAAAATTTTCCAAAATTTTCCAAAAAATTTCCCAAATTTTTCCAAAAATGTGGAAAATCTGGGGAAATTTTTGAAAAATCTGGGGAAATTTCTGAAAAATCTAGGGAATTTTTTGGAAAATCTGGGGTGTCACGATCCCACTACCCTTTAAACTTGGGGAGAGAATCCTACCCCAAGTTATTAACAAATAAAGGTACAAATAGGGAACACGGCAATAATTATCCTCACCCAAAAACCTACTCCAACTAAATACTTGAAAAAGTAAGAACAGTTGAAATAAGTGAATCATAAAAGGGAAGATAATTAATTAATTCAATTTATGTTTTAAAGGGAGTAATGACTAGCAAACATGAATTTAAGGGAATAAGTAATTGTATAATAAAATAAGAGTGATGCCGGAAGGGCGAAAATATACTGTAAGGAGTTAGACCAAACAATTATTACTTAACATTACTATATTACACAAGACATACGAAATATATATATACAACAATCAATACAAAATGATTATCCCTACCAAACAGGAGATACCTTACCACCAGGATCCCTTCCTAGGCCTAACTAAATGTGTCACTAATACCTGATACCCCTAGGGCATTGCAGAAGACTTGATAAAGCACTTAGACAAAGGTCAAGGCTAGAGAACGAATAGACACGTCTAACATATGCCACGGATTTTTCGCTACTGGGGAGCGTGGCGTGGGTACGCCGTGGAGGAGCGTCTCATATCACGTGATCTAGACATTTGCTGGATATTTTATATAATTAATTAATATTACTCTTGAGTTGACTTAACAGAGTAAGACAATGATGCATATAAATTACATACATAAATATACAATTAACCTAAGTAGCTAAGAACAATAATAATATAATAAGTACAATTAACAAATTAATAGTAGCTGGTGTGAAATGGAAGCGTGAACAGATGCCTCAAGCTATGCGAGATCTCAAGCGCCACAGGCACGTGACAATATATATATATATATATATATATATATATATATACTTCATTTTTAGTCCATATAACACGCGGACTTTGAACATATAATCAACGACCTCACCAGCAAGGAATCGAACCCTCGACCTAGTGGGTGTGACTAGGGAACGCTTACCAGTAAGCGTTCCCGAGTCACACCCAGTAGGTCGAGGGTTCGATTCCTTGCTGGTGAGGTCGTTGATTATATATATATATATATATATATATATATATATATATATATATATATATATATATATATATATATATATATATATATATATATATATATATATATATATATATATATATATGTGTTATATGTATGTGTGTGTGTGTGTGTGTTATATGTATGTGTGTGTGTGTGTGTGTGTGTTATATGTATGTATGGATGTGTGTGTTATATGTATGTATGTATGCAGGGCTGTGGAGTCGAAGACAAAACCTTCGACTCCGACTCCGACTCCTCAAATTTTTATGCTTCCGACTACGACTCCGACTCCTTGGCCTATTTGTAACAACTATTTCTACCATCCTAATTGTAATTTGTATGTTGTAACCTGCATAGGTAAAAAGTAAAACACCGTGGCTATACTGCTACAGCTTTATTAATGATCTGGACGATATTTAAGAACTACAAAAAGATGATAGGCTTGACTTTCAAAGTTTCAATCAAAAGAAAAATAAATTTATTAAGAATTCAAGATATTAACTAGAAAACACCATTTACATGTATATCTAAAAGTTCGATCTCAGCATATGAATTTTGTTTAAGCTCATAATCTGATGTGGATCTAAATGATGATTCTACAATTCCTTTTAAATTAAAGTTATATATTTATGTACATTAAAGAAATGAATACCTTATTAAGGAAAATGGATAAACCTTACATGATTAAGTTATAAAATTAAATTTGCCTTAATCTCACCAAAAACAGGTTGTAGCTAATTGTTTTGTAGCTGAGAGCCTCTGTGCAGTTTTCAATGAAACAAAATTTGATATAATTCAAAATTTCAAATGGTAAAGAAGAGACTATCGTCCAAAATTATAGTGCTATACTGTGCCTGCTACAATAAATTCATAATAATGCTTATAAAATGGAAATAAATTCTATTAATAATTTAAGAAAATTAGTGGGATCAGTGGAATCACTGCAATGAATATGCCTGAGTTCATATATTTGTTCTTAGGAACAGAATAGCTTCAGTCGGAGTCGGAGTCTGGACAATTTTACCGACTCCGACTCCACAAGCCGAAATTTCCTCCGACTCCTCGACTCCGACTCCGATTCCACAGCCCTGCTAAAGACAAAAGTAATTGCAGACTTCAACAATTATAATCTTTACATTCTATTCTCCTGTACCATATAACTCATTTCCCATACTGAGATATGTTTTGACAGCACCTAAAGCAATACTATAAATAATGTTAACACATGTTTGTGTTGTTACAGGGGCGCGGGTGAGGAGTGGCGGCACTATCTATGGGGACTATGGCCGAGGCAGCATGGCTTGCGGTCCGGGAGGGACACCCATCAACTACCGCTCTGTGCCTTCACCGCTCACCAGGTTGTGGACGAAGTACCACCAAATGCGTCCACGAACAACAGAAACTTTGTATAGACAACCGATAAATGTATAAAAATATATGATTTGACGTTGATGAATACCATGAAATGATTAATTACATGGACAATAAAGCTACCAATATACTATATAGTACAATTTCCTATTACACCTCATTTTATGAAAACTATATTTTTTATATTGCTCGTTACACAATATATTATATTTTTCCCGTGTAATTATTGATGACTAACCTACCGCAGATTTTTCATAGAAAACACTTTTAAAAATGCCACAATTTCACTGTGTTTTATAGTGGACACTCGTATTTTTGGCAAATGTGTTAAAAATTGGTTATTTCTTTAAATTTAACCTAACCTTAGTTGATAAGAAAATAAGCAGCAGAAGCGTTCTTAAAGACCTCACCAATCACATCAAAGTAACCTACCTAACCTTACCTAACTTCCTAGCCACGAGGCTCCACCCTCAAGACCCCTATATATTAAACAGAAAGAACTTAATGTACGGTATAATTTTTCATGTGGACGTGAGAGCAGCCGCCCAGTCCAAGCGGCTTATAACGTACACCGAGGCGCTAGACTAGCCGGAGTCTTGCGGCTAGAGCCCAGCTGTAGGCATTCATAGAAAACGGGAAATTTGTATCATAACAAATGGGAAATATCTACTTTCCGGGAAAGTTGGTTATCTACTTTCCCGAAAAGTAGATAGATTTTCTACTTTTCGGGAAAGTAGATTATCGACTTTTTGGGGAAGTAGATTTTCGAATTTTGGAGGAAATATTACCTAATTTTACGAAGTAGATAATCATAGAAAACAGGAAATTTGTATCATAAAAAACGGGAAATATCTACTTTCCGGGAAAGTTGGTTATCTACTTTCCCGAAAAGTAGATAGATTTTCTACTTTTCGGGAAAGTAGATTATCGACTTTTCGGGGAAGTAGATTTTCGAATTTTGGGGGAAATATTACCTAATTTTGCGAAGTAGATTATCATAGAAAACGGGAAATTTGTATCATAAAAAATGGGAAATATCTACTTTCCGGGAAAGTTGGTTATCTACTTTCCCGAAAAGTAGACAGATTTTCTACTTCTCAGGAAAGTAGATTATCGACTTTTCGGGGAAGTAGATTTTCGAATTTTGGGGGAAATATTACCGAATTTTGCGAAGTAGATTATCATAGAAAACGGGAAATTTGTATCATAAAAAATGGGAAATATCTACTTTCCGGGAAAGTTGGTTATCTACTTTCCCGAAAAGTCGATAGATTTTCAGAAAATTCCCAAAAATTTTCAGAAATTTTCAGAAAATTTTCCAAAATTTTCAGAAAATTCCCAAAAATTTTCCAAAATTTTCAGAAATTTTTCCAAAATTTTAGAAATTTTTCCAAAATTTTCCCAAATTTTCCGAAAAATTTCAGAAAATTCCCAAAAATTTTCCCAAATTTTCCGAAAATTTTCCCAAATTTTCCGAAAATTTTCCCAAATTTTCCAATAATTTTCCCAAATTTTCCGAAATTTTTCAGAAAATTTTCAGAAAATTCCCAAAAATTTTCAGAAATTTTCAGAAAATTATCCAGAATTTTCCAAAAATTTCTCCCAAATTTTCCGAAAATTTCCCAAATTTTCAGAAAATTTTCCAAAAATTTACAGAAGTTTTCCAAAAATTTTCGAAATTTTCCAAAATTTTCCGAAATTTTCCAAAAATTATCCCAAAATTTTCCCTAATTTTCCGAATTTTTCCAAAATTTTCCAAAAAATTCCCAAAATTTTCCAAAAATTTCCGAAATTTTTCCAAAAATTTCCGAAATTTTTCCAAAATTTTCCAAAAAATTTCCCAAATTTTTCCAAAAATGTGGAAAATCTGGGGAAATTTTTGAAAAATCTGGGGAAATTTCTGAAAAATCTAGAGAATTTTTTGGAAAATCTGGGGTGTCACGATCCCACTACCCTTTAAACTTGGGGAGAGAATCCTACCCCAAGTTATTAACAAATAAAGGTACAAATAGGGAACACGGCAATAATTATCCTCACAGAAACCTACTCAACTAAATACTTGAAAAAGTAAGAACAGTTGAAATGCAGTGAATCTCACAAAAGGGAAGATAATTAATTAATTCAATTTATGTTCTAAAGGGAGTAATGACTAGCAAACATGAATTTAAGGGTATAAGTAATTGTATATTAAAATAAGAGTGATGCCGGAAGGGTGAAAATATACCGTAAGGAGTTAGACCAAACGAATATTACTTAACATAACTATATTACACAGACATACAAAATATATACATACAACAATCCCTACAAAATAGTTATTTCCTCCCAAACAGGAGATTCCTTACCACCAGGATCCCTTCCTAGGCCTAACTAAACGTGTCACTAATACCTGATACCCCAAGGGCATTGCAGAAGGCTGGATAAAGCACTAAGACAAAGGTCAAAGCTTGAGAACAATGGACGCGTCTAATATACCCACGGGTTTTTTAAACTACTAGGGTGGCGTAGATGCAGCCGAGGCTAGCGTCTCCGTGAATCAGACATTTGCTTCAGATATTTTATATAGTGTTAATACTACTATTGATTTGAACTTAACAGAGTAACACAATGATGCATTTTAATAACATACATAAATATATAATTAACCTAAGTAACTAAGAACATTAATAATATAATAAGTACAATTAATATGTTAATAGCTTGTATGAAATGTAGGCGTGAACATATGCCTCACGCTATGCGAGTTCCCGAGCGCCACAGTCACGTGACACCTCCCCCAAAAAAGTGAGCTTACAACTAACTGGAAGAGAAAATGGATATACAACTACACAGTGAAAGTAACAACTAACACAATCGGTTTAAATCAATATGAAGCAAAATAATTCATAATATAAACACAAGGTACTCAATGACAATATAACAAAAAATAATTTGCATATAGACATAGTTTCTAAATAATCAGACTCGAGAAAGTGCATCAGCCAACACGTTCTCTTTTCCGTGGATATGGGAAATGTTCATGTTATAGGGCTGAAGTGATAGAGCCCACCTCAAAAGTCTTTGGTTGGTATGTTTCATCTTGTCAACAAAAGTAAGTGGGTTATGATCAGTGAACACTTGAATGGGATAAGCAGTGCTGCCAATATATACTTTGAAGTTTTTCTAGTGCGTGATCAGTGATAAAGCCTCCTTTTTGTGGTGGCATAGTTCCAGGGGCTGTGGAGTCGAAGACAAAACCTTCGACTCCGACTCATAAAATTTTTATGCTTCAAACTCCGACTCCGACTCCGACTCCTTGGCCTATTTTGTAACAACTGGCTACCATCCCTAATTTTGTTTGTATTGTAACCTATGGGTAAAAGTAAACACATTCCTCTGCTACAGCTTTTATTAATGATTTGGACGATATTTAAGAACTACAAAAAGATGATAGGCTTGACTTTCAAAGTTTCAATCAAAAGAAAAATAAATTTATTAAGAATTCAAGATATTAACTAGAAAACACCATTTACATGTATATCTAAAAGTTCGATCTCAGCATATGAATTTTGTTTAAGCTCATAATCTGATGTGGATCTAAATGATGATCCTACAATTCCTTTTAAAGTAAAGTTATATATTTATGTACATTAAAGAAACGAATACCTTATTAAGGAAAATGGATAAACCTTACATGATTAAGTTATTAAATTAAATTTGCCTTAATCTCACCAAAAACAGGTTGTAGCTAATTGTTTTGTAGCTGAGAGCCTCTGTGCAGTTTTTCAACTGAAACAAAATTTGATACAATTCAAAATTTCGGTATTCAAGAAAGGGCTATCGTCCAGTACCATAATTACATACCAGTGCCTGCTACAGCAAAATTCATAATAATGCTTATAAAATGGAAATGATTCTTTTAATAATTTAAGAAGAGTGGATAAGTGGAATCGCTGCAATGAATATGCCTGGGTTCATATATTTTGTTCTTAGGAACAAGAATAAAAAATATAATCGTCAAGATATGGAAACGACTCCATCCCCTAACTCGAAATTTCCTCCGACTTTCCTCGGCTCCGACTCCGACTCCACAGCCCTGCTAAAGACAAAAGTAATTGCAGACTTCAACAATTATAATCTTTACATTCTATTCTCCTGTACCATATAACTCATTTCCCATACTGAGATATGTTTTGACAACGCTAAAGCAATACTATAATAATGATTAACATGTTTGTGTTACAGGGGCCTTGGTGAGTGGCGGCACTATCTGGGGTTTATGGCTGAGGCAGCATGGCTTGCGGTCAGGAGGGACTTTGTAAACACCCGCTCTGTGCCTTCGCTCACCAGGTTGTGGACGAGTACGCCAAATAGATCACGAACAACGAAACTTTGTATAGACGGCGATAAATGTACTAAAAAATAATATGATTTGACGTTGATGAATGCAGAAATGTGATTGATACATGGACGGCCAAGCTATGAAATATACTATATGAAACACACAATTTCTATTACACCTCATTTTATGAAAACTATATTTTTTATATTGCTCGTTACACAATACAGTATATTATATTTTTCCCGGGTAATTATTGATGACTAACCTACCGCAGATTTTTCATAGAAAACACTTTTAAAAATGCCACAATTTCACTCGTATTTTTGGCAAATGTGTTAAAAATTGGTTATTTCTTTAAATTTAACCTAACCTTAGTTGATAAGAAAATAAGCAGCAGAAGCGTTCTTAAAGACCTCACCAATCACATCAAAGTAACATAACCTAACCTAACTTCCTAGCCACGAGGCTCCACCCTCAAGACCCCTATATATTAAACAGAAAGAACTTACTGTACGGTATAATTTTTCTTGTGGACGTGAGAGCAGCCGCCCAGTCCAAGCGGCTTATAACGTACACCGAGGCGCTCAACTAGCCGGAGTCTTGCGGCTAGAGCCCAGCTGTAGGCATTCATAGAAAACGGGAAATTTGTATCAACAAATGGGAAATATCTACTTTCCGGGGAAGTTGGTTATCTACTTTCCCGAAAAGTAGATTGATTTTCTACTTTTTGGGAAAGTAGATTATCGACTTTTCGGGGAAGTAGATTTTCGAATTTTGGGGAAAATATTACCTAATTTTGCGAAGTAGATAATCATAGAAAACGGGAAATTTGTATCATAAAAAATGGGAAATATCTACTTTCCGGGAAAGTTGGTTATCTACTTTCACGAAAAGTAGATAGATTTTCTACTTTTCGTGAAAGTAGATAATCGACTTTTCGGGGAAGTAGATTTTCGAATTTTGGGGGCAATATTACCTAATTTTGCGAAGTAGATTATCATAGAAAACGAGAAATTTGTATCATAAAAAATGGGAAATATCTACTTTCAGGGAAAGTTGGTTATCTACTTTCCCGAAGAGTAGATAGATTTTCTACTTTTCGGGAAAGTAGATTATCGACTTTTCGTGGAAGTAGATTTTCGAATTTTGGGGGAAATATTACCTAATTTTGCGAAGTAGATTATCATAGAAAACGGGAAATTTGTATCATAAAAAATGGGAAATATCTACTTTCCGGGAAAGTTGGTTATCTACTTTCCCGAAAAGTCGATAGATTTTCAGAAAATTCCCAAAAATTTTCTAAAATTTTACAAAAATTTTCAGAAATTTTCAGAAAATTTTCCAAAATTTTCAGAAAATTCCCAAAAATTTTCCAAAATTTTCAGAAATTTTTCCAAAATTTTAGAAATTTTTCCAAAATTTTCCCAAATTTTCCGAAAAATTTCAGAAAATTCCCAAAAATTTTCCCAAATTTTCCGAAAATTTTCCCAAATTTTCCGAAAATTTTCCCAAATTTTCCAATAATTTTCCCAAATTTTCCGAAATTTTTCAGAAAATTTTCAGAAAATTCCCAAAAATTTTCAGAAATTTTCAGAAAATTGTCCAGAATTTTCCAAAAATTTCTCCCAAATTTTCCGAAAATTTCCCAAATTTTCAGAAAATTTCCCAAATTTTCAGAAAATTTTCCAAAAATTTACAGAAGTTTTCCAAAAATTTTCGAAATTTTCCAAAATTTTCCGAAATTTTCCAAAAATTATCCCAAAATTTTCCCTAATTTTCCGAATTTTTCCAAAATTTTCCAAAAAATTCCCAAAATTTTCCAAAAATTTCCGAAATTTTTCCAAAAATTTCCGAAATTTTTCCAAAATTTTCCAAAAAATTTCCCAAATTTTTCCAAAAATGTGGAAAATCTGGGGAAATTTTTGAAAAATCTGGGGAAATTTCTGAAAAATCTAGAGAATTTTTTGGAAAATCTGGGGTGTCACGATCCCACTACCCTTTAAACTTGGGGAGAGAATCCTACCCCAAGTTATTAACAAATAAAGGTACAAATAGGGAACACGGCAATAATTATCCTCACCAAAAACCTACTCAACTAAATACTTGAAAAAGTAAGAACAGTTGAAATAAGTGAATCACAAAAGGGAAGATAATTAATTAATTCAATTTATGTTCTAAAGGGAGTAATGACTAGCAAACATGAATTTAAGGGAATAAGTAAATGTATAATAAAATAAGAGTGATGCCGGAAGGGCGAAAATATGCTGTAAGGAGTTAGACCAAACAAATATTACTTAACATTACTATATTACACAAGACATACGAAATATATATATACAACAATCACTACAAAATGATTATCCCTACCAAACAGGAGATACCTTACCACCAGGATCCCTTCCTAGGCCTAACTAAACGTGTCACTAATACCTGATACCCCTAGGGCATTGCAGAAGACTTGATAAAGCACTTAGACAAAGGTCAAGGCTAGAGAACGAATAGACACGTCTAACCTATACCACGGATTTTTCGCTACTGAGGAGCATGGGCACGCAGAGCAGCGCGTCTCACGTGATCCAGACATTTGCTAGATATTTCATATAATTAATTAACATTACTCTTGAGTTGACTTAACAGAGTAAGACAATGATGCATATAAATTACATACATAAATATACAATCAACCTAAGTAACTAAGAACAATAATAATATAATAAGTACAATTAACAAATTATTAGTAGCTTGTGTGAAATGGAAGCGTGAACAGATGCAGCGAGTTGCCGAGCGCTCAGGCACGTGACACCTCCCCCCAAAAAAGTGAGCTTCCAACTAACTGGAAGCGAAAATGGATATACAGCTACACAGTGAAAGTAATAACTAACACAATTGGTTTAAATCAATATGAAGCAAAATAATTCATAATATAAACACAAGGTACTCAATGACAATAAAACAAAAAATAATTTGCATATAGACATAGTTACTAAATAATCAGACTTGAGAAAGTGCATCAGCCAACACGTTCTCTTTTCCGCGGATATGGGAAATGTTCAAGTTATAGGGCTGAAGTGATAGAGCCCACCTCAAAAGTCTTTGGTTGGTATGTTTCATCTTGTCAACAAAAGTAAGTGGGTTATGATCAGTGAACACTTGAATGGGATAAGCAGTGCTGCCAATATATACCTTGAAGTTTTCTAGTGCCATGATCAGTGATAAAAACCCTCCATACTTTCCGTGGTGGCGCGTTTTAGGGCTGTGAGTCGAAGATAACACCTTCGACTCCGACTCCTCAAATTTTTATGCTTCCGACTCCTTGGCCTATTTGTAACAACTATTTCTACCATCCTAATTGTAATTTGTATGTTGTAACCTGCATAGGTAAAAAGTAAAACACCGTGGCTATACTGCTACAGCTTTATTAATGATCTGGACGATATTTAAGAACTACAAAAAGATGATAGGCTTGACTTTCAAAGTATCAATCAAAAGAAAAATAAATTTATTAAGAATTCAAGATATTAACTAGAAAACACCATTTACATGTATATCTAAAAGTTCGATCTCAGCATATGAATTTTGTTTAAGCTCATAATCTTATGTGGATCTAAATGATGATCCTACAATTCCTTTTAAAGTAAAGTTATATATTTATGTACATTAAAGAAATTAATACCTTATTATGGAAAATGGATAAACCTTACATGATTAAGTTATTAAATTAAATTTGCCTTAATCTCACCAAAAACAGGTTGTAGCTAATTGTTTTGTAGCTGAGAGCCTCTGTGCAGTTTTCAACGAAACAAAATTTGATATAATTCAAAATTTCAAATGGTAAAGAAGAGACTATCGTCCAAAATTATAGTGCTATACTGTGCCTGCTACAATAAATTCACAATAATGCTTATAAAATGGAAATAAATTCTTTTAATAATTTAAGAAAATTAGTGGGATCAGTGGAATCACTGCAATGAATATGCCTGAGTTCATATATTTGTTCTTAGGAACAAAATAGCTTCAGTCGGAGTCGGAGTCTGGACAATTTTACAAACTCCGACTCCGACTCCACAAGCCGAAATTTCCTCCGACTCCTCGACTCCGACTCCGACTCCACAGCCCTGCTAAAGACAAAAAGTAATTACAGACTTCAACAATTATAATCTTTACATTCTATTCTCCTGTACCATATAACTCATTTCCCATACTGAGATATGTTTTGACAACGCTAAAGCAATACTGTAATAATGATTAACATGTTTGTGTTACAGGGGCGCGGGTGAGAGTGACGGCACTATCTATGGGGACTATGACGAGGCAGCATGGCACGGTCAGGAGGGACACCCCCCATCAACTACCCGCTCTGTGCCTTCACCGCTCACCAGGTTATGGACGAGTACCGCAAATACGTCACGAACAACGAAACTTTTGTATAGACAACCGATAAATGTATAAAAAATATATGATTTGACGTTGATGAATACCATGAAATGTGATTAATTACATGGACAATAAAGCCTGTAATATACTCTATGAAACACACAATTTCTATTACACCTCATTTTATGAAAACTATATTTTTTATATTGCTCGTTACACAATATATTATATTTTTCCCGGGTAATTATTGATGACTAACCTACCGCAGATTTTTCATAGAAAACACTTTTAAAAATGCCACAATTTCACTGTGTTTTATAGTGGACACTCGTATTTTTGGCAAATGTGTTAAAAATTGGTTATTTCTTTAAATTTAACCTAACCTTAGTTGATAAGAAATAAGCAGCAGAGGCGTTCTTAAAGACCTCACCAATCACATCAAAGTAACCTACCTAACCTTACCTAACTTCCTAGCCACGAGGCTCCACCCTCAAGACCCCTATATATTAAACAGAAAGAACTTACTGTACGGTATAATTTT